GTGAATGAGAGTTTCTTTCTCACCACAATCCCCAACAATGACTGTTTTCAGACTTTATTTCTTTTATTAATTTAATAGTGGAACACGATGGGGTAAAACTTTTGTGCTTGGGTTTCAGTTATGCAATGATCGAGTGCCTGTCCCTCCACTGGTGCCCATTCTCCACCACCAATGATCTGTCCCTCCAGTAACCTGCCAACCCCCACAACCAATTCCCCCCCGCCCCGCCTCTGTGGCAGAGCATTCCCTTCTGCTCTCTCTTTCCTTTAGGGTGTTGTGGTTTGCAATAGAGGTATTGAGTGGTCATAGTGTTCGGTGTATATTCTAGTTTCAGCAGGCATCTCCCATCCCGGGCATACTGTACTTGTTGTTCCCTTCTCTATCTAAGCTGCCTTTTCCCCCAGCATGCGCTCCCGGCTTCCAAGTCATGGAGCAGACCTCCTGGTACTTATCTCAACTATTCTTGGGTGTTAGTCTCCCATTCTGTTACTTTATATTCCCCAGATGAATGCAGTCCTTCTACTTCCGTCCCTCTCTTTCTGACTCATTTCACTTAGCATGATACTTCCCATGAAGAACCACTTGTATGCAAATTTCATGACTTCATCTTTTCTAACAGCTGCGTAGTATTCCATTGTGTAGATGCACCAGTTTCTTTAACCACAGTCATCTGTTCTAGAACAGTCGGGTTTTTTTCCAGATTTGGGCTATTGTAAACAGTGCAGCAATGAATACACAAATGCAGATGCCATTTCGACTGTGATTTTTTGCCTCTCTGTGATATATTCCCAGGAGTGGTATTGCTCAGTCAAATGGGATCTCAATTTCTAATTATTTTTTTTGAGGATCATCCATACTGTTTTCCAAAAGGGCTGAACCAGTCGGCATTCCCAACAGCAGTGAAGGAAAGTCCCTTTCTCCCCACATCCGTGCCAACACCAGTCGCTTTTGTTCTTTTGGATGTGGGCCAGTCTCTGTGGTGGAGATGATATCTCATTGTTGTTTTTATCTGCATCTCCCTGATAATTAGTGATGTAGAGCACTTTCTCGTGTGCCTTTTAGCCATTCGGATTTCTTCTTTGTTTTCAGACTTTTTGATATATGCTATTTTCTTTTTATTATTATTATTAGTGAAACACCATGAGGTACAGTTGTAGATTTACAATTTTTTGTGCTTGGGTTTAGATTATACAATGATCAAATACCCATCCCTCCACCAGTGCCCATTTTCCACCACCATGGATAATATCCCTCCCACCCCCACCCCTCCCATCCCACCCTGCCTCTGTGGCAGGGCGATCCCTTGTGTTCTCTCTCTCCTTTTGGGTGTTGTGGTCTGCAAAAGAGGCATTGAGTGGCAAACATGTTCAGTCCATAGTCTACTTTCAACACGCATCTTCCCTCCTGGGAGGATCCTCCAAACATCCTTTATTTGGTGCTCCCTTCTCTATCTGAGCTGCCCTTTCCCCTAGAATGCCTGGCTGGCCTCTAAGCTATGGAGTAATCCTCCTGGTGCTGATTTCAGCTATTCTTGGGTATTAATCTCATATTTTGTTACTTTATATTCCCCAGATGAATGCAATCTTTCTATGTCTATCCCTCTCTTTCTGACTCATTTGGCTTAGCATGATACTTTCCATGTTGTACCACTTGTACATAAATTTCATGACTTCATCTTTTCTAACAGCTACAGAGTACTCCATTGTGTAGATGAACCAAAGTTTCTTTAACCAGTCATCTGTTCTTGGGCATTCAGTTTTATTCCAGTTTCTGGCTATTGTAAAGAGTGCTGCAATGAACAAATAAGTGCAGATGTCACTTCGACTATACATTTTTGCCTCTCTGGGATATATTCCCAGGAGTGGTATAAGGTACATTGAAGACAAAGTTGGCAAAACCCTCCATGACATTGAAGCTAATGGTATCTTCAAAGATGCCACGCCACTGACCGAGCAAGTGAAAACAGAGATAGATAAATGGGACTATCTTAAACTAAGAAGTTTCTGCACCTCAAAAGAAACAGTGACCAAAATACAAAGACAGTCTACAGAATGGGAAAGGATATTTGCCGAGTACACATCTGACAAGGTGTTGATATCAAGGATATACAAAATACTGGTTGATCTCCACAAGAAGAAAACATCTAACCCCATCAAAAAATGGGGCAATGAAATGAACAGAAACTTTCTCAAAGAAGAAATCCAAATGGCAAAAAGCACATGAGAAAATGCTCTACATCACTAATCATCAGGGAGATGCAGATCAAAACCACAATGAGATACCATCTCACACCTCAGAGACTGGCCCACATCCAAAAGAACAAAAGTAACCGATGCTGGCGCGGATGTGGCGAGAAAGGGACACTCCTTCACTGCTGGTGGGAATGCCGACTGGTTCAGCCCTTTTGGAAAACAGTATGGACGATTCTCAAAAAATTAGAAATTGAACTCCCATTTGACCAAGCAATATCACTCCCGGGAATATATCCCCAAGAGGCAAAAATGTATAGTCGAAGTGACATCTGCACTTGTTTGTTCATTGCAGCACTCTTTACAATAGACAGAATCTGGAAAAAACATGAGTGCCCGAGAACAGATGCCTGGTTAAAGAAACTTTGGTACATTTACACAATGGAATACTATGTAGCTGTTAGAAAAGATGAAGTCATGAAATTCACATACAAGTGATACTACATAAAAAGTATCATGCTAAGCGAAATGTTTCAGAAAGAGATGGATAGACATAAAATGATTGCATTCATCTGGTGGACATAAAGTAACAAATAGGAGATTAATACCCAAGAATATCTGAGATCAGTACCAGGAGGATTACTCCATGGCTTAGAGGCCAGCCGGGTATGCTAGGAGGAAGGGCAGCTCAGATAAAGAAGGGAGCACCAAATAAAGGGTTTGGGGAGGATCCTCCCAGGATGGGAGATGCATGTTGAAAGTAGACTATGGACCGAAATGATTGCCACTCAATGCCTCTTTTGCAGACCACAACACCCAAAAGGAGAGAGAGAACAAAAGGGAATGCCCTGCCACAGAGGCACGATGGGATAGGGTGGACGGGGGTGGGAGGGATACTGGGATCCATGGTGGTGGAAAATGGGCACTGGTGGAGGGATAGGTATTTGATCATTGTATAATCGAATCCCAAGCACAAAAATATGTAAGTCTACAACTGTACCTCATGGTGTTTCACTAAAAAAATTTTTTTTAAAAATTGTAATTACACAAAGAAAACAATTCGTGGGAGTTAGACCAATCAGTCGATAGGGTGATTATTTTGAACATGGTTGACCCAGGTTCAATTCCCAACACCTGATATGTTTACCCAAGTACCACTTCCCACTGGGAGTGATCCCTGATTACAAAACCAAGATTAAGCCCTGACCATCACCAGGTGTGACCCAAAATCCATCCAAAACTTTTGTAGAGTAGTTCTGGGACTATCCCTGTAGATTCTCAGTATTTACTACTTACTCTTTGCTCAGTGATGACTCCTGGTTTTCCTGAGTATCAAATGCTGGAAATTGAACCTGAGTTGATTACATGCAAGGCAAGTACCATTCCCACTACCCTATCTCTCCATCTCCATTTTTTATTGCACATTATATTGGTATACACTATATGCCCAGTAACATAGAATGTAGTCACTTTTATCCATTTGTATTTCAAATATTGTAGGAAATAAAATTAGTTGCAAAACAAAATTATAGTTATTGCATTTATGTTTGCCTAAGAAATTTTCTTTACTAAAGAACTTTATTTCTTTTAGTTTTTTGTCACTGTTAGAGCATGTAACAACCAGTTCCAGGTTTTTGTGGACAGTTGTAAGGTTAGCATGAAAACCACTAGAGGATTTTTAAACTAATTTTATTGATTCTAATTCCATTATTTAAAATAAGGTTAATCTGTTTAACCACTAGAAGTTCTACGTGTTAGTGATCTTTTTTATTTACTAGCTCATTATTTAACAACTCATTTAGGTATATCTCTGCTGAATGCAGCAGCTACAGAAACAGGGACATCCATGTCCTGGACAGCAATCCTGAATGCAGTTCCCCATCTTCCCTTTCTTAATATTTTTGTAACCTGCCAGCAGAGCAGAGCCTGACAAGCTCCCCGTACCATTATTCAATATGCCAAAAACAGTAACAACAAGTCTCACAATGGTGCCCACTCGAGCAAATCAATGAACAATGGGATGACAGTGCGACAGTGCTACTTACTTTATAAAATTTAAAAAATACATCTTGTTCTCAAATATCTATAGGTTTACTTATCCAGCATCAATATTTCATACTAGAGAGGTACTTTTGTTATAATTAATAAACCTACACTGTACCAACATTAGCTTGCATTGGAATGCATTAGGGCTCATTCTTAATTTTGATTAACATACTATATTCTCTATTCTAAAAATCCTATGTGCTGGGGACTGGAAAGATACTGCAGCAGGTCTGGAGATTGTCTTGCGCGTGGCCAACCTGGGTTCAATCACCAGCATTCAATTTGGTTCCCTGACACATCTTTAGGCTTAATTTCTGAGTGCAGAGTCAGGAGTAACACCTGAGTATTGCTGAGTGTGGCCCAAAAATGAAAAAGAGAATTATGTGTGCTCTGCATATTATTCACCCCCAGTTCTCCTTTAACTCTAGGCAAACAAATTGGTGATATATTTACTGTCTCTATAGTTTTGCCTTTTTGAAAAATCACAGAGCTTATAGCCTTTACAGATAACCCAGCTGTAATTAGAATGTGCATTTTTTAATAATTTTATTTTTGGAGCCAGAATGAGTGCTTGCATTGCATGTAGTTGACCTGGGTTCTATCCTTGACACCCGATATGGTCACCTGACACATTCTAGAAGTGATCACTGATCACAGAACCAGGAGTAAGTCCTGAACACTCCTATGTGTGACCCCCCCAAAAAATTAATTAATTAATTAAAAATATTTTAGGTGCAATTAATTAATTAATTAAAAATCTTTTAGGTGCTCGGTTCAGCAGTGCATACACTAAAACTAGAACATACAGAGAAGATTACGATATCTCCTGAACAAGGATAACACGCAAATTCATGAAGGGTTCCATATTTTTTTAAATTTTATTGAATCATCATGAGATAGTTACAAGCTTTCATGTTTACGTTACAATCACACAATGATCAAACACCCATCCCTCCACCAGTGCACATTCCCCACAACCAATATCCCCAGTATACCCCCCTTTTCCACCCTCCCCCTGCCTCCATGGCAGACATAATTCCCGATAATTTTGCTCTACTTTGGGGCATTATGGTTTGCAATACAGACCCTGAGAGGTCATCCTGTTTGGCCCTTTATCTACTTTCTGCACACATCTCCCATTCTGACCGATTCCACCAGCCATCTTTTTCTTAGTAAGAGTTCCATATTTTTGAAGATTGGAGGCATCATCTTCCCCAACTACAAAAATGTAGTCATTATAACAGCGTGGTACTGGAATAAAGACAGACCCGCAGAACAATGGAACAGAGTCAAATATCCTAACACAGAAGGTATGGTGCCACCAGCAGGTTAATCTGTACCTGTGAGTCAAATGCATCAGCAGCCTGATGGCACCGTCAGGCTTTCAGATACCCCGAAATTGCTGCTGTGCCTTTGGCCAGACTCCAAAAACTTGGGGCAAAGTTTACCAAGAAAGTAAATGGCCAAAAGTTAGGTATGTGGGAGACACACCTACAAACCAGCTCCGGCTCAGCTATATAATTGGAAGCACGGCCTCTCCGGTTCCTGATTGAAATGCTTAACGGCCATGATCCCAGAGACTCAGAAACGAATCTCGGAACCCAAAGGCTTTTGGCAGAAATGCGTCCTGTTACTACTGTAGGTTACTGGCACTGGGCCACTCCTGGGGGGGAATAGGTTTTGTGCCTTGGCCTGTTCCCCCTGGCGGCCCGGTGACCGCCACCCTCCAGAGGCCACTGGACAGTCAGGTTTGGGTGCAGTGATGAGACACGTGGGACCTCACCAGAGGGGGGTGGAACCAGCCCTTCCTCCCTATCACAATGAGGCTCCGAGTCGCCGCCTACAAACGGCCTCTCTGGCTCCTGATCAAGCGGCTTAATGGTCATGATCCCAGAGACTCAGAAACAAATCTCGAAACCCAGCGGCTTTTGGCAGAAATGCATCTGGAGCGCATACAAGGTGGCCGCGACCTCTGAGCTTATTGGAAAGCCAGGTATAAGCTGGCGGTGATGGGAAAATAGCAGTCTCATGGGAAGGGGGGTGGTACTGGCTCATCCTTCATGCCCTACCGAGGTCACGAGTTGCCCCCCATGAGCGGCTCTCTGGCATGGCCATGGCTCCATAGGCAAAAGGATTTAGTCCAGAGCCCAGCAGCTTGTGGCAGATAAGTGAATGGACCATGAGTTAAACTATGGCGCCATGCCTCACCGGGAGAGAAAGGGTGTTGCTCCCTTCCGCCTTCCCCCCCCCCCCCACCAGAAGCAAGGTGGCCGTCGCCTCAGAGCTTATAGGAAATCCAGGTATGAGCTGGCGGTGATGGGGAAACTGCAGTCTCATGGGATGGGGGGCGGTATTGGCTCGTCCTTCACACCCTACCAAGGTCATGAGTTGCCCCACACGTGTGATTCTACGGCATAGCCATAACACCAGACGCACAGAAACCAATCTTGTAATTATCTGGCTCTTTGCAGAAATCCAAAATCATTATATGATTCTTATAACCAGCTATAGAAAACAAAGTATTTCACAATGCTTTTCAGCAATTCTGATTGTTGGGGGGGATTCTAAAAAATAATGGTGCATCTTTTGTCAAAATAATGAATGTAATTGATGTAGAGAAAAGTTAAGTAGAAATCATCTCCCTCACAGGCATTAGGAGGGGTTTGGGAGTGGTATATTGGAGTTCTTGGAGATGAAAAATGAGTACTGGTGAAGGAAAACGTGTTTGATCATTGTATGACCGAGACTTAAACCTGAAAACTTTGTAACTTTTTCCACAGTGATTCAATAAATAAATATAAGAAGATAAATAAATAAATAAATAAATAAAATTATGAAAAAAAGTAAGGTGGAGTTCATGCCCAATTCAATCAGCTAATCAGTGGCTGAATAAATAGCAATACTCCTATATTTAAAAAAACAAATATCCTAACACAGACCCTCAAATCTATGATCACCTAATCTTTAATGAAGGAGCAAAAATATGAAGTGGAGCAAGGAAAGCCTCTTCAAGTGGTACTGAGAAAACTGGGCAGCTACATGCAAAAAATCAACCCAGACCTCTTTCCAATACGAGGAACAAAAGACAGATCAAAATGGAATAAAGACCTTGATATCAGACCTAAATTTATAAGATGCATGGAGGAAATCATGTACGGTAGCCTCCATGACATTTAAGCTAAAGGAATCTTCAAAGATGAAACACCACTCACCAAGCAAGTGGAAGCAAAGATAAACATTAAACTGAAATGATTCTGCACCTCAAAAGAAACAGTGACCAAGATACAAAGACAGCCCAAAGATAGGGAAAAAATATTTACCAATACCCATCTGATAAAGGGCTAATATACAAGATATACAAGGGACTGGTAGAACTTTACAAGAAAAATCATCCAATCCCATCAAAAAATAGAGAGAAGAAATGAACAAAAACTTTCTCAAAGAAGAAATATGAATGGCCAAAAGACACATGAAAAATGCTCTATATTTATAATCATCAAGGAAAGGCACATCAGAAAAACAATGAGATATCATCTCACACCATAGAGACTGGCACGCATCAAAATGATCAAGACCAACCAATGCTGGCATGGATTCGGGGAGAAAGGGACGCTACTTAATTGTTAGTGGGAATGCCAATTGGTCCAGCCTTTTTGGAAAACACTATGGGCATTCCCCCAAAAGCTAGAAATTTGAGCTTCCATATCACCCAGCAATACCATTTCTGGAAATATACCTTGGGGGGAGGCAAAAACACACCACAGAAATGCTATGTGCACCTCTATGTTCATTGCAGCACTATTCACATTAGCCAGAATCTAGAAACAATGGTACATGTACTCAATGGAATATTACGCAGCTGTTAGGAAAAATTTTTCCCTCCCGTTGATCATCGATTTGCTCGAGCGGGCCCAGTAACGTCTCCATTGGAGACTTTGTTGTTACTGTGTCTGGCATATCGAATACTCTCGGTAGCTTGCCAGGCTCTCCGAGAGGGGCGGAGGAATAAAACTCGGGTCGGCCATGTTGACTGCGTGCAAGGCAGACGTCCTACCCGCTGTGCTATCGCTCCAGCCCGTGCTATCGCTCCAGCCCTTAGGAAAAATGAAATCATAAAATTTGCTTATAACTGGATGGACATCGAGAGTATCATACTGAGTGAAATGAGTCAGAAGGTTAAGGACATATTTAGAATGTCTGCATTCAATTGTGCGATGTAATATATAATATATTATGAAATTAATGTCCAAGGCCAGGGTAAATAGGAGCCAGGAGACTGCCAAATGGATGAAACTTGCCACAAGAGTGTGTGGGGGTTGAAGGGCAGTTAGGATAGAGAAAGGACCAACATTATAATAAAATTTGGAAATGATCATTTTTAACAGGAACTGAGTGTTGAAAGTAGGTAAAGCAATATATCTGATAACTCTTCATTATCTGTATTGCAAATCATAAGGCTGAAAAGGAAGTAGAGAGGAGAAAGTGAGCGAGACAGAGACAGAAAGAGAGAGAGAGAGAAGAAAAGTGCCCACCATAGAGGCATGAGGTGGGAGGGAAACTGAGACCAATGGTGGTAGGAAATGTATACTGGTGAAGGGATGGGTATTAGAACATTGCATAAGTAAAAGCCCATCATGAAGAACTTTGTAATATATATATATATATATATATATATATATATATATGTATATCACTGTGATTCAATAATAAAAAATAGAAAATAAAACTTGTCCATACGGACACAATGAACACCACCAAGAGAAAACTCTTATTTCAACTATGGATTTTGGGTGTCAATAACATGCCAATGTACCAACTATAAATGTGTCTCATTCTTGTGAGAGATATTGATGGGGGGGAATAACTTTACCATGTATCTAAAGGTCCTCTATAAAATAAACTATTTAAAAAAACATTTTAGGTACCATGATATACAATATTAAGAATGGCAGGGTTTCATGCATAAAATATTCTGAAACAAAACTTTCCATCAAAGTGTCAGCTTCCCTATAAATTAAGCTTCCATATATATAAACCAGTAGTTCCACTTTTTTTATTTAGATTTTTATTAGTGAAACAGCATGAGGTAGAGTTGTAGATTTGCAAATTTTTGTGCTTGGGTTTCAGTTATACAATGATCGAATACCCATCCCTCCACCAGTGCCCATTCTCCACCACCACTGACCCCAGTATCCCTCCCACCCCCCGTCCACCCCATCCTACCCTGCCTCTGTGGCAGGGCATTCCCCTTTGTTCGCTCTCTCCTTTTGGGTGTTGTGGTTTGCAAAAGAGGCATTGAGTGTCAATCATGTTCGGTCTAAAGTCTACTCTCAGCATGGATCTCCCATCCTGGGAGGATCCTCCCAACACACTTTATTTGGTGCTCCCTTCTCTATCTGAGCTGCCTTTTCCCCTAGTGTGTGTGGCTGGCCTCCAAGCCATGGAGTAAATCTCCTTATACCATATAATTTTTTATCCAGTTCTTGGACTTTTTTATTGTATCACCATGAGATAGACCATTACAAAGCTATTCATGCTTGGGTTTCACTTGACTTGATCACTTGACTTCTCGTTAATCGTCAATTTGCTCGAGCGGGCGCCAGTAACGTCTCCATTTGAATCTGTCGCGTGCTAGTGTAGCCCAATGACATCTGTTCATTCTAGGAACACGAAGAGCCTCAAACCGATCGTTCACGATCTTGATGAAGAAGTCTGACCATCTGGTAGGTGGGCGGCCACGAAGTCTTTTGACAACCTGTGGAATCCAGTCGGTAACGGCTCTAGTCCAGCAGTCATCTCTAAATCTCATTACGTGACCAGCCCATCTGATATTTGACGCCTTGGCAAACGAGACAGCATCCCTGATTCTTG